ATACTAGTATCTTCAGTTGTTTCTGTTATTTTGCAAGTATATCAGGAGAAAATAATAAAAATTTATTTCGTGTGAAATATTTCGATTTTATTTAACTCTACTCGTCTAAAAGCTACTTAAAGTAGTTTTCAATGGCACCATTTAACTTTTGTTAGACTTCTCTGTGATTCATCACACTCTTTGTGTTTTAATGTAGATATTTGGCTTTTCTTTCGGAAATTATAGTGTTAATACTGTATTGCTTCACACCACATACGACCATGTGATTTACAATGATCATGCCAGCAAAATATCATCTTTAATTTTTCTTCTTGAATAGTACGACGAAGAGATAAAAATACAGAAGGAACTTTCTAAGGAAAACAGGAAGGCAAAGTTAGCCTTATCTTTGAGTTGTTAAATTTCATAAAGTTAAGTTTGCAGAAAACGTTTCTATTGTTTTAAAAAAACCGTAAGAATAAGAAGTTTGGAAACTGTTTAGACTAACAATGGAGTTGTATTATAGCGTATTACAAATGGCATCGAGATAAACTCCAAAACCTCTCTAAATACTTTATTATTTGCAGACGAGCAGATAATTATCCAAGAAAGTGAGGATCGGTTACAGAGGACTCTCTATAAACTAAGTAACATATGTGAACGATAAAACTTGAGAATCTCAACTCAAAAAAACAAAGTAAAGGCTTTAGAGGCAAACACTCTATAAGAAGTAAGATAATAAACAATAAAATTATATAACAAGTTAGTCATTTTAGATATTTGGGATGTGATATTACTTTTGAATTCAGTAAAGATATTTTATTTAAAATACACAGATTCTAAAACATATTTGCAACAATAAAATATCTGAGAAAGAAAACAAGAAACGAAACACAACTTAATTTTTATCAAACACTGGTTATCCCCATACTTTATTATGAGTGTGAGACGTGGACTAAGAAAAAGAAAGAGTTTACCAGAATTCAGGCGTCTGAGATGAGTTTCTTGAGACAAGTCAAAGGCTGCACTATATTAGACAAAATAAAAAAATGGGATTATCAGAGAAGACTCCCATTAATAAATTGCTCCCATTAATAAATAAAGTACAAGAATACAGGACCCGATGGTCCCAACATCTACACCGAATGAGTACTGACCCCCATCACAAAACAGACCTCATGGTAAAAGGGATGTCGGCCGTCCAAGGTTAAGATGGCATGCTGAACATGGAACAAGAGACTCTCCTAATCCCTGAAAAGATAATGATGATGATGAATGCAGTTGTATCTTGATGATGAAGTTGCAAAATTGAGATATATATTCAGACAATTCATGAATCTCATGGTGGACTGTCTAAATAGAAGTGAATAGTTGTGAAAAAACTTTTTGATTTAATTAGCTAAACTATAAACTTAAATTCATCCGATAAATAAATACTAAATATTACTCGTCAATAAGTCTTAACATTCTGTTGGTGATTTTGTAATACAAATTTCTTTGGCATTTTGAAATAGATAAATTATTAGAGGCTGATATACCACTCTCTTACTTCGAACGCTTAAATATAAGGAATTTTAAAAATATGTGAAAGCTTTTTCTATTAACGACTGGTGTCCTCATTAAATAAGCATATTTTCGATCAACTCAAATGTGCTTCTTTAGTTTACACATTTTATATTCTCAATAGACATGAACCACTTACGCGAAACATAAGGAAACTTTGGTAAGAACATTTGAGGGTACATTTGGGAAGACATTTGAGGAACATATGGGGAAACATTTGGGGGCGACCTGGATGACCGAGATGGCTAGAGCGCTTCGGTCCGAAGGGTCACGGGTTCGAGTCCCGCCGTGGGTATGGTTATTTGACCCTTGTCTTTCATGTGTATGTGTTGTCACGGAAGACCTTATGAGTCTGCTAACCATAAACAGGATCCTGCATGTGTGTCTTGCTTAAAGGTTAATATGTGTCCTCATGAGGGACATAGAGGGTACCCGGGGCGGTTAGCAAAAATCGGCATCCCTTGAAGTTCCAGGAAGAAAAAAATTGGAAAAAACATTCCACCTGAGGCGGATTCTTGGTGGACCAAGCTCATGTCCTTACCGGTCCCAAGTCCAGACAAAGGAGGAGGATTTGTGGGCCAGACTAGCAATCTGCCCACAGTAAAAACACACCACTGCTCTTAGAAGCACACACTAGAGATGCCAAAGAATGGCACAGACTTTCCCGTATTAGCGTTCTGTTTTCATTAGTCTCAGTTAGCTGTTCGGACTTGCCACATTCTGGCCGACTACAATCTACCGCCACCCAAAGTACATTTTTTTGAAATTTTCTTAATTTTTCATGTTCCTAATAGTAGAATCAAATTACTTTAAAAATATTTAAGAACCTGAATGGCAATAATCATTGAAACATTTGGAGCCGTTTTGAAGAAAATGGTATTTAAGCGCTACTTTAAATTCGAAATTTGTACCTCTTTTCACACAAAACTACTGAGCTTTCGAAAAACATCATATGGCGTCATTTCAAGCACTTCCAGCCACAAATGCTGTTTACAAATTTCTGGAAATGTGCATATTAAAAACGTGAGAAATCTTTTTCAAAAATTACATTAGTGTAATTTTTTAAAAAAACAAATCAATACATCAAAATTAATTCTATGTCATCTTAAACCGTGAAAGTAGCACTATCTGTTGGAGAGTGAAGAAAATATTTGGAGTCGTTTTAAAGAAAATAGTGTTTGAGAGTTTCTGAAATGCAAAATTTTGAGCTCATTTTTATGCAAACTGTTGAGTTTTCGAGAAACTTTATCTCACGTTATTTAAAGCATATAAATATATTACGGAAAAGAAATAACTACTAATGTAAATATTAACGACGAGAGAGACGATACAAAAAATTACATTTTTAGAATTTTTGAAAACACAAAAGAATAGAGCAATGTGACGTTTATGTCGTCTTCTAGAGTGCATTTAACACAATTCTTACCAAAAGTTTAAAGAAAATAATTGGAGTTTCTTTTTTTTATTTTTTTATTTTTTTATTTTTTTTATTTTTTTATTTATTTTTTTTGAAAAAAGTGCATATATTGGTCGCAATATTGCGTGAAAACTACTAAAATTTTCAAAAAAATGTAAATTACCTTAATGAAATAACTCACTATGGAGAATAAAATGTATTTTAAAGCAAAATCTCTATCTTTAATTCTGTAGTTGTAAATTTGAAATTTTCGAAAATTGGGTTTTGAAATTCAGAGTCCTGAAAATCAGACCTATGCTACCTTTATAAGTACATTTTACTCACTTCTTGCAAGAAAAACGTGAAGAAAACATTTGGAGCCTTTTTGAAAAAAAATTAAACATTCGGGAGAGCTTCATGTAAACTACCCCCAATTTTAAATGTTTTTTTTTTCAAAATTCGAGTCGGTTATGTACTCTCGAAGTACTAAAGGAAACGAGGCTAAGTAGTCAGCGTTTTTTTTTCTTCAATTCCAATATTGACCTAGCAAAGGAAAGATGTTAATGAATTAAACTTTATTGATAGAGTCTACATTAGGTATATGATCGTATGAACGCATCACCTCTTAATTTAATTATCATGTAATATTTTTCTTGATGGCAAATAGTTGGGAAAATGTTTTAATTGAATCTTACGCAGCATTTTAGTTTCTTTCAAATATAAGAGAAAGTAATACATTTCTCATAAACTGAGTAAGTATGAGCATTAAACTTTATAGATCATTTTTCTTTAACAGCATAGGCAGGTGTCGAAAATTATTTTCAAGGTACGGGAACTTAATAAGTACAACTTTAATTCTAAAGCTTTTTATGTGTACATCAATGGTACGTATATTAATAACTATGATCTTTTATTAAATTCTTTGTCCCGAAAAACATTTCATTTTTTTTATTGCTCTTCCTCTATTTCCTACTCAGTCACCTCCACTTCCTTATCTTCTATCATCGTCTCCTTATTTTAATCCGTCTCCTTTTCCTCTGTCTCCGCCCCCTTATCATTTCCCGTTTTCTTCTCCGCCTCCTTTTTGTTCTTGTCCGTCATCTTCTTGGCAGGGTTGCCAGATTGGGCGGAATTCCGCTTTGGGGGCTGGAAAATGGCTCTCCCGAGTGGGACAAAAACTGACTTCGCGGAATACCGTCAAATAGGCAAAAATGCATCAAAACATGTGCGGTTTTGGACGGGTTTTCTGTTAACGAGGAAATTTTCAAAAAACAATCACAACGACGTTGACAATGGGTTTGATTTTTTACTTTATACGTGAGTGTTTTTTTTTACTTTATACGTGATTTTTCAATCATTTGTTAATTCGTTTAAATTTACTTTGAGAAGTTGGTAATGTAGTTTTTAGGCCTCTAGTATAAGGTGTGTTCCAAAAGTCATCGGCATCTTTATCGTTAGTATATAAATATATCTCATTGGCAGTACATGCAGTTGATTTTAGAACACACCATTTAAAATGAGTCAACTTTTGTTAGTACCGTGTCACTGCGTTTTCCGTTAAGCCATAGGGAACAAGCTTTCATACGTAAGCATTTCTATGATAATCTTGTTAAGCACGGATATTTATGAGAAGCAAGGAGAGTGAAAATGGGAAAGCGGGGAAATTATTTTATCCCTTAAAGTATTCCTCCTATTTGCTGCAGTCATAGGAATTGCTGCTGTAGTCATAACCAATTTTTAAATTTTAAGATGAAACTTATTATTATAAAAAGTATATTTTTTACATAAATTATTAATTAAAATTTTCAAAAAATGCAAATAAAGCATTTCATAGGGTCACGACCCCAAACAAAACTCCCTATCATTATTTTAATACAAATTCAAATTTCCCGTGTGTAAAGTTGATTTTTTCTTATTGGGTGGATTTACGGCCATCTAATGGCGGATGTTTGTACAAAGCATCTGGCAACCCTGCTTCTTATTATTGGCCATATTCATTCCCTAGTTCTTGTCCATCTTCTCCTTGACCGCCTTGTCTGAATTATTTTCTTCCTTTTTTCAGGTTCCCAGTTAATACTGATCCCAGAAACATGGGAACTAAGAAAAAGAGAAAGAGAAAAATTAATGAGCCTACAAATGGATGTTTTGAGAAGTTGTGGTGTATCTAAAAAGGAACAAATTATAAATAAAGAAATTATTAAAAGGAAAGTAATATTAATTTTTAAAATGACATTTAATGTATTTATATCACTTGGATTGTATAATTGTAAAGAACCTGTAGCAAGTATTGAACTTCAGCTTCAGGGTCAATGACCCCCATCTCGATCAGGTTTTCGTCTAGTTTCCCTGATCCTCGAGCTAATGCTGAGATGGCCCCTTGTTTTGCTTCTGGATATAAAAGTAATTCCAAATTAACTTCTCCGCCATAGCACGTCATACACGCGTTTTTAACCGTTTTTGACGTAAGTAAAGAAATAAATAAGCTAATGCAGGTTCAAAAATCAATAATAGATGAATTGGAAAGACGAAGGATGAAATTATTCGGCCACGTAAAAAGACTTGATAGTGGGAGATGGCCCAGAAAGTTTTAGGAGCGCTTCCTTTAGACAGAAGAAGAAGAGGTAGACCCAGAGAGGAACGGTCGAATCAGATTTTTAACGATATGCAAAGAAGAGGTCTAGAAGAGAATGACTAGAACGATAGTGGTATGGAGATTGGGATGCGAGAAATGGCCGCAAGAGCTATAAAATACTCGCAAGAAGAAATTAATACTAATGCCTCATGATAATGGAAATTGTGGGGAAATTTTCTTTTACAAATCGAACAATAAAAGAATGGAATACATTGCCGGCAAAAACCTTTGAACCCTTTCCTCGTAGCGTACAACAATTTAGGAAGTTAATTTAGAGGATTAAATAGTAACTGAGGGAATAGCTGACAATAGTGGTTATGAGCATGCCGTATTCATATATTGTGAAGTGATGTGTCGGAAGTTGTAGAACAGAAACTAATGAAGAATGATAAAGGGTCATAGTGAAGAAGTGTAGTGAAGTGAAGTAAGTTGTGAGTGCAGTTGAAAAAGATTGTGCGGAGTTTGATATGTTTCTTTTTTTTAAGAGTAATTTAAAGATTTTTTGTGATTAGTACAGTGTTTAGTATTATTATTTAATTGTTATCTAATAGTTTATATTTATTTATTATTATTATTTATATTATATTATTTATTATATGTAACTTTTATGTTCATGTTAAGCTGTAGTTTTATTTATGTATTAGTGCCGATTGGGGTTGCTATTTTGCAGTTCAAATAAATTTATCTTTATCTTATAATGCAGGAGTCCTGGTGACAGGCATAAACGTGTTGCGTCACATACAAAGTTAAGCGGGTTGCGTCAAGCGCCAAGTGACTCAAATTGCTCTGCTATTCAAGCGCTGTACCGCTCGCTATTCTGCGAATAACACATCCGCATACTTGGCAGCTCCCACTTGACAGAGGTGAGGGAGTTCCGTAATCTAATCAGAGGCTTCAAATTGCGATGATGTCACTGCAGAATTGCCGACGTTTAGTAAGAAAAAAATGAAATCTCATGAGCGCCAAGTAACTGAAAATTGAGGAGCGCCGAGCGCCATAACTTTTTTGATTATGCGTCGTGTGTGAGGTTCTGTGTCGTATATATATATATATATATATATATATATATATATATATATATATATATGACACAATGCATATTTCAATCCACCTTAAAGGGCATTTCCAATTTTTATCTTTTTGCTAATGCATTCAGTAGGACGCATCCTTGGAAACGTACGTAAATTACGGGTAAAGGCATTAACTTAAAAAATTCCTGCAATTGTTTATAATTATGAACGTTCGGTGAAAAGTATTTACTCAAACTAAGAATGTCTCGAGTTTAAATATTTCTCTCTTATAAATCATTCATAATACTATTCATCTTCCTTCTAACGCGTCTTGCTGGACTTACATTTCATCTGCATGGCGCGTGTTGCCAAAACTATTCGTTATTCCTTGTTATTGGCGAGATTCGTGTAAGAGACTGCGATAAAGTTGTGTAACAGTGCTTCATGAAATAAACTAGTGTCATTATTAAAAGCTATCGCAAATACAATAAATTGGACGTGTATGCCTCAACAGCTGATCTGTCGCAAGAACGACCACGTGACTGCCGTCCGAGTAAGTGGAAACACCGCTCTCCCCCACTATCAGCTATGACGTCGATAGAAGTATTTTATTCGTAGTATACCTTGTTATTTCCAATGCACGCAGGAAGACAAAAAAGGCCAAACATATGTTGTTAGATACGCAGAAAATCGGTAAAACTTCAAAGACAATTTAACAGCTTTAATTTTGATTGGAGCATACAAATATTTGTGTCATTCCGCCTATTACCATAGTGCGCGTACCGACAGAATTCTGATACTCAGTGCGTCACTGCTTGCAACACAGATGACGTCCGAAATATTTGTGTCAGAAGGGCTCCTAGGAAGGGACATTAAATATTTTCTATCTATATGTTGTGTCATAGAACAGAATTTCTTTATATTCTTGGTGTGTAAAGAACTGCTGTCTGTATGTATAATATATTATGTTATTGCAATATTCGTGAAGGCAATTTTGGTTGACCTACTTATTTTATTGTAGTGATATTTTATTTTTTGTTCTTGAGCAATGTGTACACCACCAAAACTATTTTGCGTGGCAGTTGTTCAGCAACATTTATGCTGCTGAAGGTCGTTAGTTATACTATCTTCTCCGGCAGTGCAATTACTGCTTACGCGAGAACGGCGGGAGAGGGAAGGAGGGAGAGAGAGAGAGAGAGAGAGAGAGAGAGAGAGAGAGAGAGAGAGAAGTGAAGTGAGGGAAAGAACGAGAGAGATGAGAAGTTCTTCGTAGTAGAGTGAACTTTCTAGAAAATACAGTTCTTGTACTATTTTACGAGGGAACAAGCCAGCATCAGAAATTCTGAAGAATTAGGCTGATTCTAACAGGTAAAATATTAATGTTTGTTTATCGTGATTAGCTTAAATAATTTTTGATTTAATATAACTATCTGAACCCGTTCCAACCTTCTCCACTTTGTTTGAACAATGTTTCCATATTCGATTCCAACTTCAAATGGCGAGCTCCTGTATTTTAAAGCATTACATACATATCATGGCGGACTCGTTGACGTGTCAATTTAATTTTACCTAGATTATAACTTTCTTCTTGTGTTTTACTATCAATTCAAGCTTTACACTGCGGGTACCCAGCAACGCTAAATCTCAAAATATGCAACAAAAAAAATTAAAAGGATCTCATTTAGTTCAATACTCCTTAAGAAACATAGCTGAGGCTCAATCTACTCCCCGCACGTTTCCCCGAATGTCCCCCACGTATTCTCCACATGTGCTTCACATGTTGCCCCCATCTTTCATGCAAGTTCCTCACATGGTTTCCTGACGTTTCCCCCTACATGGTTACCTGGCATATTCCCCCACATGGATTCGTGTTTCCCTAAATGTTCCCCACACGTTTCCAGTGTGTACTTCTGTGTGTACTTCACTCGTCACCCCCCCCCCTTTGTTTCCCCAATAATCACCATTACTTCCTTACATTTTTACTTTCCCGTATACACACGTACATAGGGAGTATAGGGAAAGTTTTGTATTCCTGCGGAAAATCGATTTTGAGATTTAAACGGAAATACACGTTTGGTTGCCCCTGACACCGAAAAAGTATTGTTTTTTTTTTAGACGTCCGTTCGTCTGTCCGTCTTTTCGTCCGTATGTCAGTCCATCTGTGAACACCACTAGCGCCTAAACCATGAATAGTATTTTTTGAAGAAATCCCTGTCCATCTGGCTCGAGTCGAAGCTTTGAGATTTTGAAAAATTTCTTCTTCTTTATTCTTAAAAAATTTGAGGGTACTTTACATCTAGCCCTCCGGACATTTACAAAAATTTTTCAAAAACGGCTTCAATTTTTTTCTTTAATTTTCTTGTAATAATAAAGTAACATTCACTTATAAATGGGATAGGCCCGCTTTTCACGATTGACTCGAAATTTTCGAAAATTGAAAAAGTTTGAATTTTTTCAGCGTTTCCTACAGCTACAAATTAGAGTAGATTTTTTTCCTTCAAATTAAATTTCTTATTCATAATTAGTTCTTACATTAATGTCACGTACGTTTTTGAAAATATTAGTTGTTTTACCGCAATATTGCGTGGAATATGTACCCTTTTATAAAATAACATAAACAAGATTTTCTCGTCAACGTTTCCAATTTTTTTTTTTAACTTTTCGTAGGGATTGCGATAAATGCACTCTATAAGATGACATAAACACCATATTTATTTATTCTTTTGTTTTTAAAAAATTTCAAAAATTTATTATTTTACTTCTCTCTCATGTCCTTGTTATATTTACATTAGCGGCAATTTGTTCACGTTATTATATTTATAAGTACGTGTGCTTTAAATAATGTCATATAAAGCCTCTCAAAAACAGTCGTTTTTGTCAAAATTAGCTCAAAATGTCGTATTTTCAGAAATACTTATATGAGCTTATATGCTGATATGATTAATAGTACTTACATGACCAGGCTTCAACAAGGATCAGACTGATGTTGACACTGTCTATCTCCTCCATCTACAATTTCCAGATCTCGTTTTTTTAAGAGCTAATTTCGGAACATTTAGCTTGAATGGATATTGTCTCCTTTATATTATTGTTATACTACTTACAATTACTCTGAGTAAATTTCATTACTTAGTCAATCTTATTCATTTGGCATCATATACTCTCATGAGAACGAAAAGAACATTTGATATCGTAACTCTAAAGAAGCGCGGCAGAATCAGAGCAGAAATGTTCAGTTGCAGGGCGAACAGAGCGTGTCGTTTCCACGGAATGAACATTTATATTATCGGTGAGATATGTTAATGTAGTTGCGTGTACTTACCACCAGTTAGCTTCTCATGAATAATAGCGATGAAATCACAAAACGTACCCACTACGAACTTCACGCGGAATCTCGTCTGTTTTATGAAACTTAGACTTCACTGAATGTTACTTGACATGT